TAGTTTTAAGATCTTCGTGTTCGAGTCATGTGATTTTAGGGGGCAGATCAAATCACAGGATATGAAATATTAATAATTATTTTACAATATGAAGCTTTTGCAAGATACTTCTCTTTTTTATTTTTTTTTGAGAAAGATAAAATTCAATTGAACAATGAACAGATCTTTCTATTTATGGGTTTTTGAAATCTGCTAAGCGAGCTTTTAAATTTCAATTAACTGAGAAATGAATGGATCGCATCTTCTGTGTGTGGGTGCGCGAATAAGAATCACACACACATAGCGAAATAAGGTTTACATGATGGCTAATAAAAAAGCAAGCATTTAGAAAAAACACACAAAATCATTTTCGTTCTTATTCACACACACACACACACACACACACACACACACACACACACACAAAATGGTTAATAAAAAAGCAAGCATTTAGAAAAAACACACACAAAGTGAAATAAAATCATTTTCGTTATTATAAGACCAAAAATGTCTTGTCTATCAAAGTGCGGATGCAATCACGGGTGAATGCGATGAGTGGGGCATTCACTACCTCCCGTGTGGGGTGCCTAATTAAAAGGCCGGAGAAAGACAAAGATCGCAAATCATGTGAAACATGTAAATTTGCATAAATAATTTAGGCGGCTAGCGCGGATTTATTCTTCAATTCCGTTTTCCTCGATAATTGGAGCCTCGAGGATCTTGCTAAATGTTATGCGAATCAAATGCTAATGGATTTAAAGGCAAGTTTTAAAACGTTGTTTAGAACGTTGCGATTAGTACGTTGTGATTAGGCCATTAGTTCAGGACACATCAGGCTGAAGTGCTGTGATAATAGTCTGTCTATTAGCTTGCCAAGGCATGTGTGGTGACGATAGGGTTAAAGCACGGCTAATTTATTAGCTTGCCGAGGCTTAGCATATAAAATAGACGAATCGGGGGGTTTGCCATCTTTTTCTCTCGATCACTTGCTGCACTTTTATTAACTTTCACGTTTTTGAGGTCAGCAGGGGGACTAGCTAGGCACATTATGTAGGGCAGAAGCGCCTGTAATGATAAACTAGGCTGTCAGGGGTGCTAAAGCTACGATGTTTTATGTGGACTCGATAAGTAACTAGCCGAATTGGGGGCACCTGATCACTTGCTATCCTTGATTATTGAGGCTAGCTACCTCTTAATCTAAGGGTGGGTAAGCGGACTAGCTGCCGAGGACGCAAATCATCTAGTCGGAAGTGCTGTGATGACATGCTATTAGTTTGCCAAAAGGCATATCATGTGTGCTAAAGCTATGAATGGAGTCCACTATTATGCTAGCACGACGTAGATGCTTATAATTACTGTAATGAATCAATTATGATATGAATCAAACTTGCTTACCGTCCCTTTTTTCAATATATAGGACTATACATCGACAATTATCGCATGATATTACGGTATAACGAGGTCCTGAAATTATCATTCGGTAAATCAAGAATTGATCTAGAGTTGATTAGTTTATCAAATACAATCTCGTTGATAGATCAAAAAATGATGAATGTTTAAGAAAATTTTGGTAAGTTTATGAAATCCTTTTTATAAAAACATAGTATTTTTTTCATATGTTCCAGCAATTAATTTTATAGTTTTATTTTTTTACCCTAGGTTCGACTGCGATTGATAGTATATGGCGTTCTTTAAGGTCTCTCAAAAAATGATGAATGTTTAAGAAAATTTGTGTAAGTTTATGAAATCCTTTTTTATAAAAACATAGTATAGACGTGATGAAAATATTAGGTTCCTAGTAGTGTTTGTATTCTGGTGAATGAACTACACAGTTGTGGTGATACACGTATGATGTGTGGTAGTAGCTGGTTTGCAGGCACTACGTGCGTTTGCTTGCTTGTTTTGAATTTTATGAAAAAAAAGAACCTAAAACATACATATCTGACGCTATACGATTTTCTTCGTAATTTCTTTTTTCATATGTTCCAGCAATTAATTTTATAATTTTATTTTACCCTAGGTTCGACTGCGATTGATAGTATATTCTCTTATGGTGTTCTTTAGGTCTCCTAGAAGATGCTTACGTTTATTATTTTATTAAATGATTATCCAGATTACTGAATGTAATTTTTAAGTATAATAAAATAAAATCTTGTATGTATTTAAGAATTAGTAATAAGAGTAAAGTGAAAAAAGCTATATTTAACGCACTGTACATGTATAATGTTAGGATTATAAGATTTTTTTAAAAATTAAAATAATTAAAATGCTGTAACTCTTGCTTTAATGAAACAAAATTGACTCTGTCACTTGCAAAATTATAATAAATGATATGACATTTAAGTGTATTTAATTAATAGTAGTTCATATGTGATTTTTTTAATTTAATAACAATTGATTCGACTTGTCTTAACTCGCGATCTATTATATAAATCCATTATTTATTATTTATTTATAAAATTGGATCTGGATTCTTGTTCTTTATATCTTAAACCGCGTTTTATTTAATCCTGCATTCCACGAATCTTTCCCAAATGTACACTCCATCGAGAGTTTATTAGTAAATCTACTATATCGAATGGATTTTATTAAAGGTAGTTTTGGATATTATCCACTATATCACGAGTTTAATTAGTCTCCAGTACATCTCCCAAAGTAATCTTCATAATTTAACGATAAATTACAGTCTTAGTAATTTGTTGAATAGGGATTTGTTTGCCTTAACTCATTGAAACCTACCTGTGTCAACTTTGGACAAATTTGGGTGTATGTTTATGTGAAAATCTTTGTCTTAAATAATAAATACATGTACTCAGCGTAAACATAAAAATTTACCCATGATTGGTTTTTTGCTATTAATACGAATAACACATTACAATATAAAAATCAATAAATTTTTTTATATAGTTATACAGTGAGGGACAATATAAGATATCCAATACTGCAATTTTTATTGCAGATCTTATACATATTAATTAAACTGACCAATCAGAAGCAATTAAAAATATTTTTTAAATATATGAATATTTATTTTAAATTTAAAGTAATAAAATTATAGCTTAGACAAAAATCAACAAATCTATAAGAGATTTTTGTTAAAATTATGTTTTTTGAATTATAATAAAAAAATTTTTTAATTATACCGATAGGCGGCAAAAATTTTTTTACTTATTATATAATAAAAAAATTTTTAATTATACATAATGTATGTTATTATATATTGATTTCCCCACTAAAAAAATTTTTTGCATTATTACTAGTTTCGTCAACCAATGGTCTCTTTGTTATTTCAGAAATCATAAACTCTCTTTTATTTCGTCCATGGTGCTGGGCAGCATTTTTAGCTTTGCTGGGACGTGGCATTAGTTGAAAATAAATCATTAGCACATGCATATATGCTTATCGGGAAAGTTCGGGAGTCCAAAATTTTAATTTTATTAAATAAAACTCCTGATTTTTAAAACCTTATAACACAAAATATTTTTAATAAATATAAAATTTGAAACCATAATTATGACTAAAATTTTGATGGCTATAAGTGACCTGAACCATAGCACTTTTTATATTAAATTATTCTATTATACTTTAATTCAATAATAAATAAAATTATTTTTTTATATTAGTGATATTCGGGTAGTCCAATACATGTAATTTTGATTTACTTTGACTCGATGAATCAAAAGTGATAAAAATCATATCTATCGGACTACTGGCTGCCGAAATATTGCGTCCCGAAATAAACTGATCAATTTTATGATGGCGACTTCCAAGTTGGGGACTGCAATTTTACATATAATCTTGTCCTCTGTTACCCTTACCCAGATAAATCATAAAAATCATTAATAGTAAACTCTGAAAATTTAAGGGGATTGATCACATGATGGACTACGCTTTAACCGTTCTCCAAATATGAATTGTCCACCATGCTGAGTAGAGCTGTGCAGAATTTCTCCTACAAGCGGATTTCAAGTATTTCGTTCGCAAAAAAAAAAATTGTTTATGAAGCGAGCACGTCTCAAGATGCACCCTCAAAAATGAAAACAAGGGCACAATATTGTGATCTCGAGGGCCAGGATTACGTCACGTGACTATAAGCTGAACTGTACGCGCATGGTGTATGACAGGTGACTACAGTATACCAGTCGAGCAAGCATCTCAATTTAGTTGGGAAAGGAAAGTATTATAACAAGCTAATCGTCAATGCTAAAGATAAAAAGCCCCAAAAGACCAATGCATGCGTGAAACGTATGCTTCTTCAGCACGATCGGGAACAGGCGGAAGCACGTTCAGGAAAGTTCCAGAACGGCTAGTCACCTTGTTTAAATCCCCAACAGATGGACAAGACTGATCAGGATCCGGAATACATTAGCTCACCCGAGTATTTGCTACCAATTGACGTATGCGCAGAACTTGATGAAACCAAGCTGCGTAAGCTACATTTAGTGTTGTTAATCAGTCCCAATCGGTCCCAGTTCTCTGTAGCAACATTAAACAGAAACTAAATCAGAATTTGGATCTTGGAGAAAGCCTATCGGGACCGGACCGTCCCGAAAAAAAAAAAGGGGTTTCGTGAGAACCAATGGCTCGATTTCATGCAAATATGTATAGGAAATCAGTCGGTAACAGTTTGGCCTCAAAGTACGCATTTTGCTGTTGAATACTGCGCAGTCGTTTAAACGTGCGTCCAATCATCACCTATATGTTCCTAGCGGAGAGCGCAACATCCGGAAGATCTCTTTTCAGTTTCTTTCCCGGCCCTATGTGCTTGTCAGTTCTGTAACCGTCGACGATGTGTTCCAAACAATACGTACGCCAAAATATACGATTCTATAAGGAAGGATGTTACGGATATTCAGGAGTCTGGCTCCATTAACGAGGGTGCAAAGCGTTTTTTGAGAAAAGTTAGGGATAATTGGAAAGTAAGTAACTCAGTCGAATATCTTGTCAGAATTTGACCTGCGAGGGATAGCACCTCTCTCACGTTCGAAGAAGGACTGCTTATCACCCATATGATCCAGATCGGCGGCAGCTTGGGGACTATTTGTCACCTGGACCTAAACCGCACCAATCGCATTTTAAAAAATTACTTAATTTTGGGAAAACAATTGAAAATCTTGCAAGGATAAAGAGAAAATGTTCTTTTATGATAGATCTTTTTCTGTTAATTTTTAGGCTTGCGACAAATTACGATAAATTTTTTAACTTAAAAAAAAAAGCTAGCGATTTTGATTTTGTTTATGGAATATATTTCAATTATAATTAGAAATCAAATCGGCTGTCAAAATGCACGGAGGGGTTTAAACTCGTTCTCATTCCTTGGTTATCCATATATTGTATCGTTCCTGCAAGCTATGGTGCACAAATCCACAAGTTGAAGGGTTAATTCCAATGCTTCCATGTCTACCCATATCAGCGACTGATAATGGGATGCTCGAGGAAAACTGCTGACCCTTGCTATCGATCAAGCGTGTTTGGTGCATCAAAAGGAAAGTTTTGAGAGATAACGCACCATTGATGTGAGCCAGCAAAGATATTCATTAAAAGGCTAGTGTACGGTTTTCGTGCAAGTGCCAATGACGAAAATTTTAGATCGGATGAAGTTCGAAGCCTCCGTAAAAGTAGAACAAAAAATAGATGATTTGTCCTTGCTATCTATCGTTAGATTTCGTAGCACGACTAGCTGCAATCTTATCCAGCATGACACTCGGATGGATATTCTGATATTTATCACGAAATGCTACCTTTCTTTGCTAAGGTTGTATGTCGAGCAATTTTCGAAGGAAACATATTGAAAAATTACTGTCTTCAATAGTGCCAAGTTACGAAATAAAAGAAACATAGATGGAGAGAGTATGTGGGAATAGAACAAGATATGTGATTTCAAAAAGTGCGCTCCATTATGAGAAACGAGAAAAGGACAATTGGCAATTTCGGTAAAGCCTTAGATTATAAGTGAATGAATCACGACATGCATACAATATAAAAAATAGGTGTGCATATCTGCTATTACCTGAAGCCCCGACCAAGAAAAGGACAATTGGCAATTTCGGTAAAGCCTTAGATTATAAGTGAATGAATCACGACATGCATACAATATAAAAA